GGGTGCACACCCTGCACAGCTGGAGGCCGTGCGGGTGATGGAGGAGAGCATCCTTCACGCAAGGCCTCCGGAGCCCGCAGCCACGACATCCAAGCCACAGGCGCAGCCTGCGGGCTGCCCAGCAGCCCTGTCCACTGACGCGGCCTGCAGTCCATGGGGGGGCGGGGGCTCACAGGGAGAGCTTAGAGGGCACTGCTGTCCTTGATGCTTCCTCGTCCCCACGGGAACGCCTGCGGAAGCGTGGGGCAGGGAAGAGGAGTCCCTTTAGGAAACAAAACAAAAGGGGATGAGGGAACGAAGCACCGTGAGCCATGCCCCTGGGACTTCTCTTCGCAGGCATCACTCGGGCTCCACACTTCCCTTCTCAGAGCCAAGAAGGGCCGGCCAGGCCACGGGGCTGGAGGACGGAGGGCGGAGGGTCGACGGTGGTGGAGGCGGGCCAGCTCCTCCCTGGTACATAGACGGTGTCTCTTTAAAATCTGTATATAATATATATTTATACTCTGTATATATATATTTATATATATATATCTATTTATAGGTCTATGTACACGTATTGCACAGGCCTCCGGCAGCCCTGCTCCTGCTTTGTCAGTGGTAGCGGCTCCTCTTCTCTTCGCGCTCGGATGTGTAGTCCTGGGACCTGATGCCGTTCTGAAGGTTGACGAGGGAGTCCTTCATCTGCAAGACAGGGACCCCCCGCGGGTTGTGCGCTCAGTGGGGTGCCACGCAGCGGGGCCCCCCATGCCCGTCCACAGCAGGGGCCCCCATGCCAGGGAGCGACAGGGGGCTGGGCTCCTAAGTCAGGGGCAATTCTCAGGGACAGCCTCAGGCAGACAGGGCGCAGCGATCGGCACGGGGACCGCTGCACACGTCGCTGCATCGCCGCGTCTTCATGACGCGTGGCCTGCGGCACTGAATTTTAAGAACGCACTCAGAGCATTCAAGTGCTGCCAGGAGCCACTCTGCTGCCACTTCTGTGGCCTCTTACTCCTTCCACTCGGCGTCCCCCCTACCCTGACCGCGACATCCCTGTAGCGTGCATCCTGCCAGCGCTCCCCCCGCCTGCACTCGCCCTTCTTACCCGTCCCAGTCTCTCCCATCTGTGCGGGCCCAGAACAAACCCAAACCTCCTCTGGCTCACAACCCTCCCTTCCCCAGGTCCCTCTCACACTCACTGGCCTGGGGCTGCAGCCATTTTTGGTGGCTGGGTTTCCTGTGTGCCGGGACTGCAATGTCTCCTATCCTTACCCCCGTGCCACGCAGAGCCCTGAGGCGGCTCCGCGCTGAATCTGTGGCACTGACTTGACCTTCACGGGACCCCTGGCTGCCTTCAGGACACAGACACGCTCACTCGGTCAGGCTGTGACAGTCTGAATGGGCGGTTCCAGCGGCAGAGTCTTAAAGCCACCTTCACACCACGTGCTCACGTTCTCTCTCAGCAAGCTGCTGTCACAGCACAGAGTTCACATTTCACGGACACGTGGCTCTAGGTTTTGAGAACCTCTGGCTTCTCTGCCTAACTGACCATATTCTCTGGTTCTTTTGTATCCTCTGCTTAACGGAATTGAAGGCCCATTACTATCCTGATATATAAAAACCAGGGTCCATAAACCGAAGGCTCCACCGACCAGAAGTCCGTCCTGCAGTCAGTGCTGGGTTGCCGTGGCGACCAGCACTGACTGCCGAGGGGGCTGCGGATCAGGCCGGGGAGAGGCCCAAAGAGAGAGGCAGGGTCTGATCCGCAGCCTCCGTGGCAGCTGTTGATCAGCCATTGCCTTTCTGTTTCTCACCGAGCTTCGCCAGCAGCTGTGCCTGTTTCTCTCCAGGCCTCTGTGGGGGTGGGGTGGGGGTGGGGGCTGCTGGTCAGGCCACCTCTCTGAGGCCTGGGCCTGGAGATAAGCCTGGAGACACTGACTGGCATAGAAACCTACCAATCAGAACCTAATCTGGGTGAACTGCAAAGGCAGGACCTAAGGTGGGGGCTGAGGAGGGGGTTTTAAGGGCAACAGCTGTTTGGTGTAAGGCAAAGGGGTTAGGGGCACTCAGCTGTTTTAATGACCGCTTTGGCAGTACAGTGCATATGGCTGGCTATCAGTCCAGATATAGGGATGATGTATTTTTGTCTGCCAAGAGCATCTCCTTCTGCTGAAAAAGGACCCCCCCCCCCCTTTCAGGCAGAGTGGTTAGGGGGGATCAGGCAGGCAGGGGTGAGCAATTAGGGGCAATGAGGCAGGCAGGCAGAGGGGTTAGGGGCGAACAAGCAGGCAGGCAGGTGAGCGGTTAGGAGCCAGCAGTCCCGGATTGCAAGAGGGATGTCCAACTGCCGGTTTAGGTCCAATCCCACAGGACATACCACAGGGGGTCCCCGATTGGAGAGTGTGCAGGCTGGGCTGAGGGACCCCCCCACCCCCCGGCACAAACTTCGTGCACTGGGCCACTAGTTCTCTTATAAGTTACTTTTAAAGGTAATGAAACAAAACACCTATCCCAACACATTCCACCATGCTTTAAGTCTGACTGCTCCACGCTCCAACTTAAGGGGACCCATCCTGAAATAGAATTCTAGAGTTGGAAGAGAATGGGGTCATCCCACCCCCATATTTATAATAATAAAAGCACAATATGCAAATCAATCAAATGGCCAAACAGCAGAACGACCATCTGGAGGACACATGTACTGGCGCCAGGCCAGCCAAGGTGGGTGCGATGTGATTAGGTGGGGGGCCTGCCGTTGTCCCATGATCACCCTGCAGAGGGCGGCCCAGGCTACCTGGCCAGCAGCTCTGCAGCAGGTGGGTAGGTGGGTGGGGCCTCCCTCTGCAGGACGATTGACCGCAGGGCTCCCAGACTGCGAGAGGGCGCAGGCCGGGCTGAGGGATGCCCCCTCTCCCTCCAGTGTGCACGAATTTCATGCACTGGGCCTCTAGTAATTCATAAGTTCCTTACCCATCACCCCCACCCCCCAACAGCCCTTCCAGGTGGAGGAGTCTCAGTCCAGAGCAGCCATTCCCTCACCGAGTAACTCTAATCATGAGCAATGTGTTTCTATGACAACTCCAAAAGCCATGCCCTCCGACTTCCAGCCCCAGGCCAGGCCTCTGGAGCATACAGCAGGCTGCCCTGTTGGCCTCAGCATCTGAGGACTACCCTGTTCTCATCCGTCTTCCCTGGTCCTTGAGTATCTTCAACTACATCAGCCCTTCCTGATGCGACGGGGCTGCTGGACACCTCCTACACTGTTTGCCCTCTTCTGGTTAGAAAAACTCCCTTCTTAAACGTGGCTCCAAAGACGACCACGAGCCTCTAAACCAGGGGTGGGAAAACTTTTTGACTCGAGGGCCACAATGGGTTCTCAAACCGGACCGGAGGCCGGAACAAAAGCATGGATGGAGGGTTTGTGTGAACTAATACATGTTAACACTGCTGCTGGTGAAGGGGCGGAGGGGAGAGCAAGAGAACCCTCCGCTCTTTTGGCTCTGCGGGCCGGATAGAACAGCCGAACGGGCCGGATCCGGCCCGCGGGCATAGTTTGCCCACAGCTGCTCTAAACACATACTAACTAGATGCAGCTAAAATTTAGAAGGGAGACAGCAGCTGTACTGGGGAGAAGATGCCTGGAGAAGACAGGGACAGCCCTCTTCCCAGACGGTCAGGGCAGCCTCGCAGGTGCCCTGGGAGGCTGTGTCTGTGTGCATGTCCTGGGAGTGCGTGTTCAAGGAGAGCTGGGCGGACACGCTCGCTGGGAAGATGACTCTCCGTGAAAGGGGTTATCAGCTGGCAACGGGTGGCCAAACACAAAGCCTCCTTTCACCTGACCTACAGCTTTCCTGTTGCACATCCAGAGCTGCTTCCACCAGCTCACTCAGGGAGGCCTTTAACGTGAGAACAAGGAAGGCCTACGAAAGGCCTGGCTGGGAGGATGCGGCCGGTGGGGGTGACGGCGGTGGCGACCTTCTCAGGACACAGGAAGGAGTCTGTCTCCAGGAGACGAGGGCCTCACCTGGTCGAGGAGCATCACCGAGGACTTGATGATCTCTCTCCACTTCTGGAGCTCGGTGTCGTGGTACTTTTGTTGGGACTCTAAGAGCTGGGCCCACTCTGTCTGCGACTGGGGTAACCTGTGGGGTGGAAGAAGGGGTCCCCCAGCAGCTGGAGTTATGCTCAGTGGACTGTCCTGTGCTCCCAGACCCCTAGAGGACAAAGAGTCACATCAGAGCGTTCTGCCCTCCGCTCCTGCCCCGGGGCCCGTGCCCTGAATCAGAGCAGACGCGAACTTTACGGCCAGTTTTCGGAGCCGGCTGATGGACCCGTCACAGAGGGCGGGGGGTTCCCACGGGGACCGGAGGCAGGAGCGAGGGCAGGGTCCGGGGCAGGCGAGGGTGGCGGCGAGGGGAGGGTTACCGTTCTTGGAGCCTCAGGCCCTGCCAGGCGGTGAGGGTCTGGGTGGCGTACTCCAGCGTCCAGAGCTTGTAGAAAAGCATCACGTTAAGGAGGACCAGCAGCACCAGGCTAGGACAGAGACGGGGAAGCACAGCCTGAGCGGCCCCTGAGCGAGACTCCCCGGAGCGGGACCCCACCCAGAGGCCGAGGCCCTGGCCAGGGGGTCTCCTGAGACCTGCGGCCAGTGAGCGAGCCCCTGCAGCGAGTGAGCAAGCAAGGGGGGGGGAGTTGGGGGGGGCGAGAAGCGAGGGGGCGGGAAGGAATTCTAATCTGGAAAGGTGTGGGGTGAGGGCACAGGGCGGGGTCAGATGGAGGAAAGAGATGAGAGGGGAAGGAGGCTGTCAGAGGGAGTGGGGAGGAAAGTGGGGAGCAGGCCGGCTACGACCTGTGTGGGGAGGAGAGGCTGCACTTATGCGGAGTCAGGGGACCTGCGCGAGGAGCCCTGGGAGCGCACGCCTCTGAGCACCAGCAGGAGGGGTGCAGGGCAGCACCTGCAAGCAGCCTGGGATTTCCAGGGCGATCAGCGGGGCTAAGATTCCTTCAGCAGCCCCTCCCTTTCCCCCACCGGCACCACCACCACCACCAAAGGCGACGGCAGGAGGAATCAGGGGGACTCCTGGCTCTGCCCTGGGTGCCTCCCGATGTTGGCAGAACTGGCCTGAGTGCAGTCTGCCCCCTGCACCTGCCACAGGCCCACGGGGTCCCGGGGAGGGTGAGGCGCCAGGCTGCAGGGAGGGGGCGGCAGGACAACCCTGGGGTTGGAGGGCCAGTGGGGGAGTCACCGGGAGATAAACTCCTCCTGGGCCTCGGGGGCTGCCTGGAGGCCCCTCTGTGACCGTTCCGGGACAAGGGGATGCGGACTCAGGCGGAGAGGGGACCCAGACAAGCAGAAGCGCTGCACCCCTGGCTCGTCACTTCACAGGTCAACTCCGATCAAGCCTGCCAGCTCCTCAACGGGACAAGGACACCTACGCTGCGGTTGCTACATGGATCAGAGGGCGGTGCAGGAGCGACCTGCACACGGGAGACCCTCTACGAGGCGTCGCCTTCATGGAGGAGGAGGCACAGGCACACGCAGGGAAGGGGTGGTAGGTGGGAAGACAAAGTGAACAGACGGACGGAGAGCACAACGAAAGAAAACCTGTGCTGTGCCTTCGACCTTACAAACTACGTGAGTGTGTGCATATGTGCCTGTGTGTGCGTGTGTGTGCGTGTGTGTCTGTGTGTGCGTGTGTGTGCATATGTGCCTGTGTGTGCATATGTGCCTGTGTGTGCCTGTGTGTGCATGAACTGCTCACCTGTGCGTCCCACTGGCACCTGCCAATCCCTGAGGCGACCAGTGGCATTCTCAGGCTCCCAGTCCCCACAGGCCCCCAATTCTGGCCGAATGCCAGGGGCCGGCCTGCACCGCCCGCCTTTCCAGTGGGAGCTGCACACCAGCTGCAGCCGCTCTGGGTCTTGCTCAGTGGAGGTCGCGGGAGGTCGTGTGAGCGCAGGCTCAGAAGTGCTCTGAGCAGAGCGGAAGGTGGGCCGGGCCGGCCTATGGGGCTCGGCTGGCCGGACGCTGGCCAACCGGCTGTTACAGTCCATCCGCACGCTGCCCGCAGACCCCCGGGCTGCCCGAGGAGGCCTGATGCTGGGAAGCGGCCAAGCCTGAGGGCCGATGCCCGCTACGCGGTGAGCGCAGGCGAGCGCCTTCTCTACTTACGCCACGTCCCAGCGTAGCCAGAGGGCGAACACCATCTGACCTGTGGCTGGTTCTCCATCCACAAACCTCACATCGGAGACTTGGTCTCAACAGCATGGGTTGCTTTAAAGTGCTGACGCTCAGTGTCAATCGTGCTGGTTTACAGCTGCCTTTGTGCTTAATGTGGTAAATATCTTGGCTCCTTAGGCCCCATTCAGAAGAATGTCACTTCTTGTTACACAGGGTGTACGTATGGAAAAGCGTGGGCTATGGGTTTTACAATAACCTCATTAACTCAGACTGTCAGAGTGAGCCTGCCCCAGGCCTTCAGGGGTCGACAAGGAGGCCGACCCGGAACCCGCCGGCTCCTGGCCTGCATGGCCGCCCATCTGTCCTCAGCCCCACCTTCTCACTCTATCCCAGGTGATGTCAGCCACACCCACGGGGGCTGCTGCCTGTCAATAACCCAGCACGTGCCGCCTACTTCCCTCCGAAGCCCAGGTCCCACCAAGCATCCCTCCCCACCTGCGTCTGGGAACCTCCGGTTTCACCACGTTCCAGATCCCTGTTAGTGACACACCATCTACAGATGGGAGCATAGGCCCTCCCTTCCCTGTGACCAGCGTCCCCGCCCCTCCTCTCAGGCCGCCAGCACAGCTGCCCCCCAACCCCTGCCCCGCGGTCACTCCTCCTGGCCTCTGGCCCCCAGGCGTCTCCTCTGGCTCGGGCATCAGTGCCACCCGAGGGGAGGGCGAGGGAGCCGGAGCGAGGCTCTTCCAAATGCAAAGCCCACCCCACTACCCGGGCTTCCTGCCGTTTCCTGAGGGCGGGGCTGGGTCCTCGCTGCTGCCTCTCTTGAGGCCTGGGGGTGGCCCCCTGCCCCCCTGCGCGGTTCACAGGAGAAGACTGACCTGGACAGCCCAGTGCCCCGTGAAGCGCTGGTGGAGAGTGGCTGGGCAGCGGCCCCCCACCCC